ATCCATCCATCCGTCCGCCCATCCATCCATCCGTCTGTCCATCCATCATCCATCCATCCATCATCCATCCGTCCATCCGTCCATCCATCCATCCATCCATCCGTCCGCCCATCCATCCATCCATCCGCCCATCCATCCATCCATCCGTCCATCCATCCATCTGTCCATCCATCCATCCATCCATCCGTCCATCCATCCATCCATCCATCCGTCCGCCCATCCATCCATCCATCCGCCCATCCATCCATCCATCCGTCCATCCATCCATCTGTCCATCCATCCATCCATCCATCCGTCCATCCATCCATCCATCCATCCGTCCGCCCATCCATCCATCCATCCGCCCATCCATCCATCCATCCGTCCATCCATCCATCTGTCCATCCATCCATCCATCCATCCGTCCATCCATCCATCCATCCATCCGTCCGCCCATCCATCCATCCATCCGCCCATCCATCCATCCATCCGTCCATCCATCCATCTGTCCATCCATCCATCCATCCATCCGTCCATCCATCCATCCATCCATCCGTCCATCCATCTATCCATCCATCCATCCATTCATCCATCTGTCCATCCATCATCCATCCATCCGTCCATCCATCCATCCATCCATCCATCCATTCATCCATCTGTCCATCCATCATCCATCCATCCGTCCATCCATCCATCCATCCATCCATCCATTCATCCATCTGTCCACCATCCATCCATCCATCCATCCAACCTCTTCTTCTTGTTTAACTTGTTTTTTAAACAAGAACCTGTTTTTCTAATTTTATTTTGTCATGTTTATTACAGGAGTGAACCCACGTCCAGACAGAGGAGAGGAGGTAAAGTAAAAAATATTTTTTAAATAAACAAAAAGGCAGACGGGACAGCAAATAAGCAAAACACARGGAGCCACGAAGGAACCCAGGAGAACCAGACAGTAGGAAACACAATGATCCAGCAGGGAGCGAGGACATGGAAGCAGAATAAATACACAGGTGGAAAGAAGAGAAGAAGAACAGCTGAGGCAGAGACTGATGAACAATGATGAAACAGAGAGAATGACACAAACAGACTGAAGGAAGAGGAGGAGTAACGACACGAGGACACGAGGGAGGCAGACAGGACAGCACACTGATCCTCATATTCCTGCTGTTGCATCAAGTCAAACTGTTTATTTCCTGCTTTCTGATGTTTTAATGAAACATGTCGGATCTGTTCAGGTTCAGATGAAAATCAAAGTAAAAATATTTAAACTTATTTTCTCTGATTGTTTTTAAAGAACTGAGCTGCTTTAACAAAGAAGTTCTGATCCAGTTCAGGTTTGGTAAATAAAATATTTTATTCCTTCAGCACGTTATAAATCTGACTTCACATGAAAAACTGTAACAAGTGAACATGTAAACAGAAACCAGAACCAGAACCAGGACATCGGACCCATCATGTTCTGATGAAAACCCTGAAACCTGGCCGGTCCAGCTGGATGTGCTGGATGAACCGGACTGAAGATCTGGACCAGATGTAAACAGCTAATCCAGTTTGACTCTGGATYATGATTCATTTTGAAACGATGACAGGAAGGTTCTGCTCCTCATCGACTCATCAGAACTGGAAGTGGTTCTGTTTGGACCTGTTCCTCCAGCTGCACCATCAGATTTATAAACTCTTCTGCACTTCCTGTTTCATTTGGCCACTTCCTGGTTTGACTGTAGCACTTCCTGGTTTACTGAAACACGGTGAAGCTCAGGTGTGAGGTGCTCTTACAAACAACCAGAGGTGAAACAGGCTGTGGGAGCTGACTCAGCAATAATCCTCATCCTCGCCTCAGTGAGAACACACAACACAACACAACACAACACCTAACCCACAAATCAACACAAACCCATCAGATAACTGATAACAGGGAGGATGAATAGTTTTTAGATGTTTTGAACCTTCTGATGTCAGCAGACTCTGTCCACCTGAACAGACTTGGTCTAACTTGCAGAGCTTTAGTGGTTTTTGCAGCAGCAGCCACACAGTGACATGGTGTAAATGCTCCTTTGTGCCACTGTGTGGCGCTGCAGCGCCACACAGTGGCACAAAGGAGCATTTACACCGTGTCCAGAAGAATTGCTTCACTGAGTTGCAGGACTCCCCAGTGATTCTGTAGAACAGCWACATGCCTGAAACACGACCAGATAAACCAAACGAAGCATTTAAAACCAGTTTGTGACCGGTGTGAACGCACAGAAAGCAGGCAGAGTTCAGGTTCAGGGTTGTTCTAACCAGAAAGGTGAGTTTCCTCTGGGACAGACTGCAGACCTGCAGCAGTCCTGACATGTTCAGAACAAAACGTTCACATGAGAAGTGTGTGAAAATCAAATCAACAACAAAACATTTGCATGTAAGCTTGTAAATTCAACTTTATTATACAAAATTCTTTCCTTCTGTAGTTTAGAAAAGAAAAAGTTCACAAATTAGACCTTTTCAAAAATAAACCCTCAAACAGAACAATGAAGTGGTTTCTTTTTGAAAAGAAGTCGAAGTTTTAAACTCTTTGCTCTGACCTGATGCAGAGTCTCAGCTGGAACACGTGCAGGAGCTTCAGGTGGGACTGAAGATCTGAACCAGCACCAGCAGCAGGACAACCAGGCTCAGGTAGGAGCCCTCCAGGTACAGGTTGACTACGACGAGTCCAGCAGTGACACCTGTTTGTTGGCAGGAAGCTGTGAAAATCTGCACCAGTTAAACATAAATCCTCATAATGACATCATCTGGACTGAGGTAGTTGATGTCTGTCATCCTCCCACAGGTTCGAGGCCTAAAGGAGCATCAGGGCTACATGTTTGCTGTTAGTCGTGGCTCAAACGTCACAAACACGATGACTCAGCACTTTTTGCTGCCTCACACTTCCTGAACACGTCTGTGTGCGTGTAGAAGTTGGCAGCCAGGTGGGACATCCGTTTGTTGAGCAGCTGAGGGGACGGCGTTTGGTCCTGAGGGGAGAAGGCTCTGAAGCTGGCGTCAGAGTCGGGCAGGTCGTGGGGCGGCGGGGGCGGGCTGCCCGGGGGTCTCCACAGCGTGGGGTGGAAGCAGCAGTAGTACAGGGCTTTGAGGAGGAGGCCCAGCAGGTGGCTGAGAGGGAGGGCCACCAGCAGGACCAGGGTGTAGGCCTCCGTCTGCACCGGGTCTCTGTACAACCACCAGCACGCCATCAGGACGGCTCCGTCTGCGCTGACGAACGAGTGGTAGATGAGGCTCCGCCCACGAGTGCGACCTTCTGCCACATTGAACCAGCTGAAGTACCAGATGAGGCCCACCGTGGCCCGGTACAGCCACTCCCCCCCGGCGCTGTCCATGAAGTCAGTGTTCTGTCGCCACGCCCACAGCAGGAAGACCAGCCACAGCAGCAGGAAGTGAGGGGCCGTGAGCTCCGGCAGGACGGACGAGAAGAGGGCCAGGACCGCCACGCGAGGACCAATCAGCAGCAGGTTCCACAGGAAGTAGATCAGTGAGGAACCCCAGCGCTGCTTGGCTTTGTCYGGCAGGAAGGAGCGCAGGGAGCGATGGTAGTCCACCAACATCCAGGCGATGGAGGTGGTCGATGCAGCGACGCTCACAACTGCAGCGACACAAACAGGAAGTGAACAAGCAGGAAGTGAACAAACAGGAAGTGAACAAACAAACAGTAAGTAAACAAGAAGGAAGTGAACAAGCAGGAAGTGAACAAACAGGAAGTAAACAAGAAGGAAGTGAACAAGCAGGAAGTGAACAAGCAGGAAGTGAACAAACAGGAAGTGAACAAACAAACAGGAAGTGAACAAGCAGGAAGTGAACAAGCAGGAAGTGAACAAACAGGAAGTGAACAAGAAGGAAGTGAACAAACAGGAAGTGAACAAACAGGAAGTGAACAAGCAGGAAGTGAACAAGCAGGAAGTGAACAAGCAGGAAGTGAACAAACAGGAAGTGAACAAACAAACAGGAAGTGAACAAGCAGGAAGTGAACAAGCAGGAAGTGAACAAACAGTAAGTAAACAAACAAACAGGAAGTAAACAAGAAGAAAGTGAACAAGCAGGAAGTGAACAAACAGGAAGTAAACAAATAGGACAGAAGTGAACAAACAGGAAGTGAACAAACAGGCAGGAAGTGGACATCCTTTGAATGAGATGGCGTGAGACTCACACTGGACGGTTCTGGCCCAGTTGGTGCTCAGCATGACGTAGATCATCAGGATGAGCTGAGGAGCGCTCTCTACGAACGTCTCGATCAGACGGAGCATGCTCAGATCGTGGGTCAGGTAGACGGCGTACTCAGACCCCGCCTCCTTCCTCCACCACACCCTGAAGCCTTGACGTATGGCTGAGATGTGTCTGCATGGACCAGAGGAGACATGAGGAGACATGAGAGGACCAGAGGAGACATGAGACATGAGACATGAAAGGACCAGAGGAGACATGAGGAGACATGAGACATGAGAGGACCAGAGGAGACATGAGACATGAGAGGACCAGAGGAGACATGAGACATGAGAGGACCAGAGGA